CGGATCTCCGACACGTCACACCTGCTATGTGGGAGGCGGTCAATGCAGACTTAGACTCAGCACCTTGGAACTCATTAATATCCTCAGACGTGGACAGTCCACTTAGTAACCTGCACAGTGTCCTGCAGACTGTGCTCTCCAAGTATGTTCCCCTTCATAGCTCCCGCAAACCAAATCAAACTCCCTCAACCCCAGGGTCTACACGCAAATATCATCTATGGGTTTCCACTGAACTACGCAAGGCTATCAAGTTGAAGCGTTACCTATTCAGCCTCTCCAAGAAATTCCCTACGGACTACAACCTATCAGCATATAAGGCACAGCGGAACCAGGTGAGACATCTCTCCCGCTGGTGCCACCGCCAGTACATTCGTTCAATCAAAACAACACTTACCTCAGGCAGCACTACGCTTCACCAGTTTGTCCGCAGTCAGCGATCGCACAAAGTAAAACCTGGCATCCCTGACATTGCAAGCCCTGATGGGCTGCTGGTGTCTGACAGCTTCCAAAAAGCAACCATCCTCAACAAGCAGTTTACCTCTGTCGCGGTGCCTGATGACCCACGTTTAGTAATACCCCCTCTCCAATATGACACTCGTCTTGCTCGCCAATTCACCCGCGTTCATATCACTACAGCAGATGTTCGTAAAGCAATCTCAAACCTGAAATCTGGGAAAGCGCCAGGGCTAGACGGTATCACGAACAATATGATAAAGAAGCTAGCTCCTGCGATTTATTTTAACCTCTCCTTTGCCACAGGCAAGTTCCCTACTGACTGGAAACTGGCTAAAATTGTGCCTATTTACAAGTGCAAAGGCAGCAAATCTCAAGCTAGTAACTATCGCCCAATTTCCCTCCTGTCCTGTATTTCCAAACTTTGCGAACGGCTCTTCTTCAATCAATTATATAATCATATTTCTCCTGCTCTGGATCCCTCGCAATCTGGGTTTCGTTGTGGTGGCTCGACCGCTCTACAGCTCACCAAGCTGATCCAAAACATTGCCGACCATCGTCATATGGGGCGGAAAGTTGCCATGTGCTTTTTCGACCTCGAGAAAGCTTTCGACACCGTGTGGCACCGTGCATTACATGCTAAACTTTCCAAAGTTTTCGGTGTGTGTGTGGCGCAGCGCTGGAGTGGATTACAGACTACCTATCCGACAGAACGCAAGTTGTCTTTGTAGGTGGACTTCTCTCAGATGCTTCTGTCCGGAGTGCCCCAGGGATCCATCCTAGGGCCCCTCCTTTTCCTAGTGTATATTAATGATCTTCCCAGTCATGTTGAAGGTGTGTCCTTATTTGCTGACGACACTGCACTGCTCCGGTTCAATGAGTGTCTAGACAGGCTGCGAGACAGTCTCCAGCGCGGTATCAATGAAGTCCATAAGTGGATGACTACCTGGAGACTAAGACCTAATAATAGTAATATCGCCAAGACTGAGATATTATTCCTGCCGAACTCAGAGCCAACTTATGCATTCACTCTTCCCGGATCCCTCACAGACCTCACAGTGGTAAAACAACACAAGCATCTTGGTTTGGTCATTGACTCAGACTTATCGTTTAGTAGACATGTCGACTATATCTGTAGCAAAGTCAGTAAAGCTGTTGGCTACCTCGTGTCTCACCGCTCCCACCTACCGCTTGAATGCATTCGCCTCTTTTATCATTGTTATATTCTCCCCATTTTTCTCTATTGCTCAACCACCTGGTCATCCCTACTAAGGGGCCGTCCGTAAATATCGATGTTTTTTAGAGACGATATTGGTGCTTCTCTCCCTTGACCCCCCCCCCCCCCTCCCCCCAGAAGACGCACATGTACATCTAGATCATGGAATCAATATTTTTGGATGCTCATTTTTTTCCTTTTTTTGTCAATAATATGAACCCAAGATGGCAAGTTTGCAGTATTTATATGGTCTAATTGAGAAGGAGAGCATTATGACTTTTTTGGTCGCCCTCGAGAACACTTGTGGCCAGCAGCCTTCTTGTGCTGCATTAGCCCATAGTAGGTGGTGAAGGCTAAGCCACAAGTAGAAGCACCATCCAAATACGAGCACACATGCTCCTTCTGCTGCCTGGATGTAGTGCCTTCACTGCTATGACTCAGGCGGTTGTGGCGAAGCTTATCAGCCGCTGACAAGAAGACATACTTGCAGTGCTCGCATCGCTCCGTTGTACCATTCTCAGCGTCTGTGCCAGCTTGGTTTCACATTTCTTGTATAGCCATTTAGACGTCCGCGTGCAGGGATCGGCGAAACTTCAGATATTTACATCGATATTTTTCTGATGCTCGAAAAGACGCACATGGCTCAAACCCCTCCCCCCCCCCCCCCCCCCCAGATGCACCAATATCGTCTCTAAAAAAACATCGATATTTACGGACGGCCCCTAAGTAAATCGTTAATGAGTACCCTGGAAGTCCACAATAAGAGGATACTCAAAATCCTTTTCCGCAAACCATCATACTTTCCTTCTGCCGAGCTGTATGATATGTTTAACACCTTCCCTATCTCTAGTCAAGCAGATCGAAAACTGTGTATTGTTGTTCATTCTATTCGTCTTGACAAAGCCCCGCCGCGCTTGTGTAAATATAACTGGTTTCTTCCCACTCGTCCTACGCGCAATCCCTGCACTTTACCTAAAGCCCGAACATCAGCTTATACCAGAACTCCGTTTTTCGCTGCCTATTCTCTCTGGCTGGCCCTGCCTCTATCAGTAAAATCGTCTTGTACGCTAAAGGATTTCAAGGCCAACATGAAGCTCGTGTTCTAATAACTGCTAATCCTTCACCCAGATTTGTTTTTCTTTGCCTCCAGTAATGTGTAATATTTATTTATTTTGCTTTGTTTTTGTTTACTGCCATGGCTGGCTACCGCCCCCCCCCCCCCCCCCCCTCCGTCCATATTGGCCTATATTCTCTGGCCACGGGAAGGTGAAATAAATAAATAAATTATTTTTTAAACGCTTTCGAATTTCCGGACGAAAAGTAAATCCTTTTTAGGGAAATTGCGGTACTTTTACTACCTATTCTACATTCTCAGATCATCGGCCTAATGGCTGCATGGTTCACACTAGGCCGATTTTCCGGCCGATACGGACTTGTACGAAAAATCCTCAAGATCGGGGCGAAAATTGCCTGTTGTGGTTGGTTTTGTCGTACAGGTTTCCAACAGATGTGCGGCGATTTTCTTGTCGCACTAGTTTTTGGCCAAATATCAACTGGTCGATATTAATTTTATCGAGTCCAGAAAGAGAAAAGCGTCGGACGACAATGATGATTGGGTCGACCCGCTAGTGAGGATTCAGGCTTCCGAATCGTCACAAGTCAATGAAGTATCGAGGAAGAGATCTTGGGCAACTCCTTCAGCACATGCAATTGAGCTTGAGCTTGCTTCCTACCATGGAAGCTATTCTTGGCTGAAGTTTCGTCCCCTATTCTGATGATCAAAGCCCGAGTCACAGTTTCACAGTTTACAGATGCGCTCAGCCCAAGATCTCTTCCTCGATACTTCATTGACTTATGTTATGCGGCTGGGTCCCGAAATGCCTGCCATCGTCATGTTTGTTTGTGGCAACACTCGCTTCTACGGTTTTGTACGGCCTCATCTTGATAGTACAGTGCTGGCAACTGAAATCCGATCCCTGAGCGGTGCGCTCACATCGCAAAGGCCCAACACGGGATGGTAAAACTACGAAATAGGGATTGCTACAGTGCTGGCAACTGAAATCCGACCCCCTGGGTGGCGCGGCGCGCTGCATAGTCCGTCACCGTAGTGGTAGAGGAGGAAGGTCACGACCTACATCATGTAGACCGTGGCAATTCATGATTCAAATAGCAGTGCTCTACTTCTGCCTGCGAAGGTTTACTGGCTGCTGACTCGATGATGCTGATTGTTCCGGGATACACTAGTACACAGCCGGACGCATCGTTTCGGTGACTCCTGCCTTGCTGCTGTTGCTGCGTTGACCAGGTTGCCACCTTTACTTTGAGTCTATGTAGAGGAGAAGAGGTTGGTGCGACTTCGGTGATACATGTACTTCGGGAATTGTGTGTTGCTCCCTATGTGGGAGCTTGCGCTATTCCTGCCCACTTGAATTCTCACTTTACTGAATCACGACTGCCATCCAGAGCACACGCGAAGTCGATCGAACCTTCCACTCGGCAAACCTGCAAGAAAACAACACTCCCTGCTCAATACACAGTGTTTCGGGGAATTCACCCCACGATTGCCATCCGGAGCACACGAGGAGCATGTCGCACCTTCCGCTCGGCAAACCTGAAAGAAAGCACCACTCCCTGCTCAATACACAGTGTTTCGGGGAATTCACCCCTCATCAGTTGAGCTTGAGTAGGCTGAGGAAGATTGCGCCTGAAGAGCACCACTTTTATAGTGCTCTCCGGGCACAAACATCACCCGGGATGCAAACTTACAGAGAGCGCGACAACACCTCGTGAAGTGAGAATTCAAGTCGGCAGGAATAGCGCAAGTTTTTATGTAGGGAGCTACACACAATTCCTCACTGTCTGTACCAGAAGATAGGGCCTCTAAGGCCTCGGGCCTCGGGCCATGGTTTAGGCCCAGACAGATTCTGCTCCGCTCGCCTCGATATGCTGCCGCAAAATGTTGCTGCTGTAACGCTTGGGTTTGTCCCAACGTCAAACACAAGACTCCACTCAACAGCTCCAGACAACGACTGAGGTTTATTTACAAGAAGAAGGAAAGATAAAGATAAACTGTCATGATGTGTATATGTACACAGTACGGGAATGCATAGGTAACTGATCCAGGAACGGATCGGGTACATCGATCGACTCATGAGAGTACAGAGTACATAGAACGATAATTATATAGATTGTGTCATCCATTTATGGGTAAGCGAATGGGACCACAACATCTCCCTTTTTATGTTTGAAGAGAAACGCAAAACTCAGAGAATACAGAGTCCTGCACATACAAACAAGAGAGGGCAGAAACACATAATACTGAGCAATGTGTTCACAGGTCGAGTCTCGGCGGCGGCCGGGAAGGACGTGTGGATCGGCGCAAGGCAGGTTGAAACTCTACATCAGCGGATGGAGGTTCAGGTGCACTGGCATTCAACTGCGGCGCCGGTTGCACATCGGGCAGTATCTTGATATGGCGACGGTTACGGCGGTACTCGGTGAGGTCGTCTGTGGCTACGGTATACGAACGCTCATCGGTACGTTCAGTGACAACTGCTTCTGACTCTAGGTCAGGGATCCAAACTCTTGTACCTTGCTCTAGTACTGGCAGTGGCTGTACTCGATGTGCGGCATCATAGCTAGCACTCTGGCGTGTCTTGCTGGCTGCCTCACGTTTCCGTAGTGCTTCGATATCCGGCCAGCCGGGACGGAGCGCTTCCTTCGTAGACGGAAGACGGGTGCGAAGACGGCGACCGAATAGCAGTTCTGCTGGTGAGAACCCGTTCGCTAATGGTGTGGACCGGTAGACGAGAAGGGCATCGTCAAGGTTGTCGTTAGTCTTGAGAAGACGCTTGACGGTTTGTACTGCTCGCTCCGCCTCACCATTGCTCTGCGGATATCTCGGGCTACTCGTACGGTGGCTGACTTTCATCACGGTTGCGAAGGCTGAGAACTCGGCACTGGCGAATTGCGGGCCATTGTCCGATACCAGGACTTCGGGTACACCGTGTATCGCAAACAACTTCAGCAGTTCCTTGATAATTGACTGCGATGTCGTGCTGCGGACCGGAGATGCGTGGATATACCGAGAGAAATAATCCACGACGACGAGGTAGTCATGACCATTGTAGTGGCAGAGGTCTACGCCTACCCTCTCCCATGGCAGAGATGGGAACTCAGTTGGTTGAAGAGGCTCCGGTGGTTGGTAGCGATGCTTGGAGCAGATGGTGCAATTCCGGACATACTCAGCAACTGCCATCGAGATACCTGGCCACCATGCAGACGACTTTGCGCGGGCTTGACACTTAGTGATGCCTTGATGACCATCGTGTAGCTTGGCTAGGGTGCTAGCGCGTTCTGCTACTGGAATCACGATGCGGAATCCATGGTAGAGGAGGCCACCATGAGTAGACAGTGAAGCGCGCTCATTGCGATACGGTTCCAAGTCAGCGGGGACTCGAGCTGGCCAGCCGTGGAGTGTGTAGTGCTGTACTTTCTGTAGCGTGACATCATTGGCGGTTGCTTCTACAAGCTCGTGCTCCTTCTCTGGGCTGCAGAGAGAGGCGAGGACTGCCGCTATTGTCGCTTCGGAGTCCCCGTGAAGCTCCGATTCCTTGACGGGTGCTGTAGGCAAGGGGGCTCTGGACAGAGTGTCAGCTACTACCATGTTCTTGCCAGGAACGTACTCGGCCTGCGCGTCGTAGCGCATCAGACGTATCAACAGGCGTTGGCACCGGAGTGGCACACGGTCCAGATCGCGACTGTTGATTAACGGGACCAACGGCTTGTGGTCGGTGTGAACAGTGAAACGCGGTCCACCGTACAGATATTGGTGGAAGTGTTCGCAACCCCAGACAGTGGCTAGGAGCTCTTTCTCTATCTGGGCGTAGCGTTTCTCAGCGGCTGATAGTGTGCGCGAGGCATATGCTACCGGCTTCCATTCACCATTCTGGAACTGGAGAAGAGCAGCACCTAGACCGTAGCTGCTGGCGTCAGCAGTCAGCAAAGTGGGTGCTTCCAGGTCATAGTAGCAGAGGCATGGTGCGTCTGCGGCGAGTTGCTTCAGGCGGTTGAAGGCTTCGGTGTGCGCAGCAGTCCACTGCCATGCAGTGTCATTGCAGAGCAGGTCGCGTAACGGCGCAGCAACGGTAGACAGCTCGGGCAGGAACTTAGACAGATAGGTGATCAACCCTAGTGCACGACGGAGTTCGTCGACATCGCTAGGCACTGTGAGCTTCTCTATGGCTTCGAGCTTAGCTGGGTCTGGGTTGACACCCTTGTCACTGATCTGGTGGCCCAGGTACTTCAGTGACGTGCGGCGGAAGCGACACTTGTCCGGATTGAGCGTTAGACCGGCGTCTATGAGTCGCTGCTTGACGGCTTCGAGGGCAGCATCGTGTTCACTCATCGTCGCAGCATACACAATGATGTCGTCAATGAATACGGCCACATTCGGGATGTCACCGAGGAGCTGCTGGAGACGGCGCTGGAAAATTTCCGGAGCACTGGTGATTCCGAACGGCAGGCGTTCGAACTTGAACCGGCCGAACGGGGTGATGAACGTGGTGAACATGGAGGCTTCTTCTGACAGGGGAATTTGCCAGAAACCAGATGCGGTGTCGAGTGTGGAGAAAATGGTTGACCCATTAAGCTTTGCCAGCGTGTCGTCCACAGTAGGCAACGGAAAATGCTCCCGTTTGACACTCGCGTTGAGCTTTTTCAGATCGACACACACTCGGACATTGCCATTCGGCTTCAACACCGGGACCATCGGCGCACACCAGTCTGTCGGCTGTTCTACCTTCGTTATCACCCCCTCAGTTTCCATCCGTTCCAGCTCGCGACGAACCTTGAGGCGGATATGGATGGGCACCCGGCGTGCGTTGACGCAGTTGTATGGCTTTGCATCGGGGCGAAGCTCAATCTTCACTGGGTCGCCGAGCATGCAACCAAGGGCAGGGCTAGCAGTTGACACACCTATGTGGCCTCGCTGGACTAGACCCATTCTCTGCGAGGTTTGGCGGCTTAGCAGGTTGACACCACCAGTGGCAATGACCAGGAGTGTGATGGAGTACGAGACACCATGCAGGGTAGCCTCAGTACTGAATTCGCCATCAATGTCAAGCTTCTTGCCATCTGCTCCGGTGACATGAGACTTGGTGGGACTGAGTGCTGGTCGTTCTGGCAGTGTGTGGAAACAGTCACGGGTCAAGATATTCAGGTCTGCGCCTGTGTCGATCTTGAAATTGACGTCCGCGTGACACACACGGAGCTGCACAGTCCAGGGTGCGTCAGCACTGTTACTTTGAGTCGAGGCTGCTCCCAGAAAGTGTGCTGGGTCTTCGTCATGTCCTGTCGTCGACGCAGCATGTGCAGCGCGTCCAGAACCATTGGAACTGCTACGACAAACTGACGCGAAGTGGCCTGTCTTCTGGCAAGTCAAGCACGTCTTTGACTTCGCTGGGCATTCATCGCGGTTTGCCTTGTGATCCTTTGAAGAACCACACCACAAGCACTTGCGAAAGTTTCCACTTGACGATTGGTACGATTTCTTACTAGACGACTTGCTGGATGCAGGCGAGGAGCGCTGTCCATGGCCTCGAGCGCGACTAGTTATAGCTGCAGCAGCTTGCTTGCCGAGATGCCCGTCCAAGGAAGATTGCTGGGCGACTTCAGCATTCACGGATTCCGTTTTCCGAGCAAGACTCACGGCTGTTTCCAAGTCCAGTGAGGTGTGATCCTCGAGCTGTAGCTTTTTTGAAACTTCTCTGTTCGTCATGTGAGCTACGAGTCGGTCTCGGATTCTCTCATCAGGTTTATCAAATGCGCAGTACTTGGCGGCGGCTCGTAGTCGGCGGACATACGTTTCGACAGTTTCCCCTGGGGACTGCACGCAGTGCTCGAAAAGAGTCCTCTGGTGGATCACGTTCACGCCAGGCCGAAAATACTTGTCGAATGCTGAAAGGACAGGGGCAATTTTCTTCTTGTCCTCCGCCGACAGGTTCAAAGACTCGAAAATCGGGTCGGCCTCGGGACCCATGGAATAAACAAGCGTATCCACCTGGCGTGGCTGGTCTGACTCGTCCAGTTTGGTCAAGGAGCGAAATCTTTCGAACCTGGCTTTCCAGGTTGGCCATGCTTCTGGCGCTGAGAAGTCGAAAGCGCCGGGGAGTGGGAACTTTGCAGAAGACATTTCTGCAATCAAACTTCTGACACCATGTAACGCTTGGGTTTGTCCCAACGTCAAACACAAGACTCCACTCAACAGCTCCAGACAACGACTGAGGTTTATTTACAAGAAGAAGGAAAGATAAAGATAAACTGTCATGATGTGTATATGTACACAGTACGGGAATGCATAGGTAACTGATCCAGGAACGGATCGGGTACATCGATCGACTCATGAGAGTACAGAGTACATAGAACGATAATTATATAGATTGTGTCATCCATTTATGGGTAAGCGAATGGGACCACAACAGCTGCAAAATCTTCGATACCGGATGGTACGAGTAGGGCGCGTTCAGACTACCGTTGCGTGAATCCCGTGTAGACCCCACCTCCCTTGAGGCCCTTTTGTCATGGCGCCTCGTGCCTCTTGACAAGCAGCCAGGGGTCTGCCCCATTGGTATTGGTGAAACCGTCCGCCGCATTATCGGTAAGGCCGTTTTGTCTGTAACTGGTGATGCCGTCCAGCAGGCCACGGGTACGATGCAGCTGTTTGGTGGCCAGCCTTGCGGCATCGAAGCGGCCATACATGCGGTCAACCAGGCATACCAGTGGGACGACGTCCGAGCTTTACTACTAGCAGATGCATCCAATGCCTTTAACTCCATCAATAGGCAGATATGTACAGTCAACTTCGCTTATAACGACACTCGGCGGGGCATCAAAAAGGTGTCCTTATTCCCGAAGTGTCGTTATACCCGAAGTCTCATTACATGTATTACAGTGGGATGGGACTTTGCTCTGGGCATGGAAATTCTGTCGTTATTCGCGAATTGTCGTTATATCCGCAGTCGTTATTAGCGAAGTTGACTGTATGCAGAATTGTCGGCGTCTCTGTCCTTCGCTCGCCCCAGCAATCATTAATTGCTACCGCCAGCCCGTGCGATTGGTGGTTGATGTAGAATGCCTGTGGTCGGAGGGGGTACCACCCAAGGCGATTCTCTGGCCATGCCAATGTATGCCATCGGTACCATGCCTTTGATTCGCAATGCTGTGGAAGCTGGGGCCATACAGCCATGGTATGCCAACGACTCATCTGCTGCTGGGTCTCTGGTCGCTGTGTCTTCTTGGTGGGTGATCCTCCGTGAAGCTGGCTCTAGGTACGTCTACAATCTGAATTCCAAGAAGTCTGTTCTCCTCGTGAAGCCAGAATGTCGCCAAGAAGCAGAAGACTTGTTTGCGGGGTCTGACATTCAAATCGTCACTGACGGATGTTGCCATTTGGGCGCTGCAATTGGCAATGATGACTTCCGTGATGCGTTTGTCCGAGCTAAGGTGTCAAACTGGGCTGAGGAGATACGCACTTTGTCGGAAGTAGCTCGCACCCAGCCTCAAGCCGCCTACTCAGCCCGCACCCAGGGGTTACGGCATCGATGGTCCTTTCTTGTGCGCACCATGGTCAATGCAAAGGATCTCTTCGCACCCCTAGACTGGAGGAGGCCACAAGTCGGGTGTTCATCCCCTCTCTCACAAGTCGTCTGCCCCCGGGCGAGTTTGAACGAAACATCATGCACCGCCCCTGTCGCCTTGGAGGTCTGGGTATTGTGAAACCACACACCTTATGCCGGCAGTATGCAGGGGCGTAGCACCCGCTACGACTGGTACGACCATAGCCATACCACTTTTCGAAAAGTGTGGTCCGTCCGAAACGTGCAAAACCGTAATAAAAAAGATCAGGATCCATCGATGCGTATATGCGCATCAGACTTTGACCTTATTCTAGACTCGTACTCGTAGATCTGCCATGCATCTGCAGTCGTACTGAGTACTGTACTCGACTCGACTGCACACTGCGCCAGAAGTGTGCCAGAAGTTCCCAGAACGCAGGATTTTGTGTCTTTTTTACAAATATTTCCCGGGGGAGGTCCCCCGACCCCCCTCCACCACGGCCTTCGGCCGCGCCGACCTTCGGTCGTACCACTTCCCAAACCCCTCCTACGCCACTGGTATGTGTCGTCAATCACAATTACCCAGTCCTTGGTTCAGCGCATCCTCGACGGCGACGAAGAGCTAGGGGACTGCCCGTCTGTCATTCGTCGCAACAAAGCGAAGGTGATTCAGGAAGCCAATACGGCCCAGAGGACTGCAGTAGAGGAACTCAAGGCTGAGGCTGACAGCACTATGAAGCATTTGCTTGAGGTAGCCAGTGAGAAGGGCGCTTTCGAGCTGGCTAACTTGCCGCCCTCTCGCAGTATACTCTTTTCGGGTACACAAGATGGCTTTCCGCGACGGTCTCTACCTTCGGTATGGATGGCAGTCGCCACACTTGCCATCACAGTGTCCATGTGGTCAACAATTTACCGTCTGCCATGCCCTATCGTGTCCCATGGGTGGATACCCATCGATACGGCATAATGAAATCCGTGATCAGACCACATCATTTCTACGAGACGTGGCCAGGGGCGTAGCAGCCGCTCCGGCCCGTCCGGCTTTGGCCGGACCACTTTTTCGCCCGACCACGACCACCATAGTAAAACAATGCCAAAAGTGCCCAGAATGCAGGATTCTGCACCCTAATTTCAAAATATTTCAGGGGGAGATCCCCCGGATCCCCCCCCCCCCTGGCCACCGCTAACGGCGGTGCTACGCGCCTGGTGGCCTATTATTATGTCTCCTTTATTCACTTCTTTCGAAGGCGATAAGCCAGACCCACCAGGAAAATATTTCCATGGGTGGGACAGCAAAAAGAAAGTGAAAAAATGAAAAGCTAAAAGCCAAAGGGACAAGAAATAGGGGAAGGAAGAGGAAGAAAGGAAAGAACCTCAATCCGAACTCCAACATCAAAACAATAATAAAGAATTTGCAGTGACAGGTATTTGACAAGTGATAAGGTTAAGGACGTTGAGATCGGTCAAAGCTCGAAAATAAATACTTGGTGAGCCGAATGATGTTGTTATGGGGATTATTTTGACATTGGGATTCGGAATCGGTACCAGTCTATTACTGACGCCTCTAGAGTCCGCTCTAAAGTAACTGTCATGTCTCGTCACGTTTGAGTTCAGCTCAGTCCGGATTTCGCAGAGGCGATTCTACCACCCTCCAGCTGACGCGCCTGGTTCAATTAGTGTGTCGACATAGGGATGCTGGAGATCTAGTCGGGATCTGTTTTTTCGATCTTGCCAAGGCCTTCGATACCGTCTGGCACCGGGGGCTTTTGGCCAAGCTTCGTGGATCATTTACTGTAGACGGCAATCCCTGCTATGGCTGACATCTTACCTAACTGGGCGAACGCAGTACGTCACGGTACATGGGACGTCCTCAGCCGACACAACAGTACTATCCGGAGTTCCCCAGGGCTCCATCCTCGGCCCCCTTCTTTTTTATCTTATACGTCCGTCAATGATCTGCCCGCAGCTGCCCCGGGCACATCACTGTTCGCAGACGACACAACGCTCCTACGGGCATCTCCTAACATCACTGGCCTGATGAGTAACCTAGCTAACGGGATTCAAAGAGTAATTTCCTGGATGTCGTCTTGGCGGTTATCGCCCAATCTGTCTAAAACTAAAATCATGCTCTTTCCTTCTCAGCCCGATGTTCCGCCCCTCCTCCATCCCACTTTCCCGCCTATAGACATAGTCTCCAGCCATAAGCATCTTGGCATTTTCATTGACTCTAACCTTTCATGGGAACCCCACATCGATTACATATTATGTAAACGATCAAGTTCATCTTTAGGAATCCTCTCTTCTCACTGTTACCATCTCCCAATCTCTTGTAAACTCCTCTTTTACTCAGCTTACCTACGCCCCATTTTTGATTATGCAGATACTGCTTGGGCTGGAATTTCCACAACCCGTGCTGCCAAGCTCAGAGTCGAAATTCACCACAAAAAGTTCTCAAAATCCTCCTCCGAAAATCCCGCATGCTCCCATCTTCCACCCTTTATGCCCTTGCTGACACTACCCCTTTGTCTAAGAGACGTAATTCACATCTTGTCACCCTTATCCATTCTCTCAATCTGTCCACCTCATCTCCACTGTTTCAACTGGTTCTCTTCCCGTAGCACGAGAAACTCCCTTTCCCTTCCGAAACCTAAGTCTCCTTTCTACTTCACTCTCCCTTTTTCACTGCGTACTCTGCGTGGCTGGCACTTCCCCAAGAACTAAGGACGTTTCTTCCCTCCGCCTTTTTCATTAAGAGCTTCAAGTTGTCGCACCTTGACTTTGATTTTGTGTCTCTCATTTTGTTGCAATCACTGCTTATCCATGCCGGTTCCTCTTTTCTTCTCCCTTCCTTGCCGTGGTTGGCTAACACCCTCTCTCTTTTTCACGGTATTGGCCGGTGTTCTCACTGTGCTATGAGATGCTCAGTAATAAATAAAATAATAAACACAACGGACAAAAGCCGACACCAGGATTCAAGTATGGCCTATGCAAATTGTAGCCAAGTGCAAAAGCCTAAACTGGCCAGCGTCAGAGTGCCAAATCAAAGTCACATCAACCAATGAAGGGAGCCTCTGTAGGGGCCGTCCGTAAATATCGAACTTTTTTCACCAAACGAATTATTTTAGTTTAGACCCAACCCCTCCCTCCCTACCCCTCAGAACGTAAAAAAATGTTGACATACATGCATATACAACGGCCATGTACATGAATCAATGTTTTCTGAAACGAAATTGGTCAACCCCCTCCCACCCCATAACGAAATTATTTCGTTTTGTGAAAAAAGTTCGATATTAATGGACGACCCCTTAGGGCGCGTTCAGACTGGCGTAAAAAACAAGCGGAATGGGAAAGTTGTCAAGGTGAATCGCTCACGTGACGTTCCCGCCAGCGGAAACACGGAAAAGGTTTCCCACCACTCTGCAGGCCAGTGGAATGCAGATTCCGGCGGCACGCGGGAGCACTTTTGATATCCTCTATCGTCTGCATTGATCTGACTGTGTGCATGCTTTTGAGTTTTTTGGAATTTCGACTTCTGCCAGCTCCGTGTTGTTACGTCTTCCATCATGCCGAAGTCTTTATTTGATGCTGCAATGGAGAGAGAGCTCATGGAGCTCTACGTTGTGATCTTTGCTGGATCTGCAGGCAAAACATTGACTGCAAATGAAAAGCACACTTTGATCGCAGAGCGGATGAATGCGAAAGGCAAATCCCTCGGCTGGGCCACACTGAATGCAACAAACATAGACAACAAGCTTGACGGATTGAGGAGGAAGGGGAAGAAGATGTACAAAACGTTCCGGAGTAAGACAAGGACCGGTGCTCCAGTCGAAGATGATTTTGACTTGAAGGTAATTCAATTGAAAGAGATGATAATTATAATAATTATTATTATGAAATGATACTTCACTCAGACCATAATACGATGTGCATTCAACTAATCGAAATCTCTTTGATGTGTAGAGTAATTCCAATCCAACATGCACCATTGCATTGTATCGTTGGGAACTGCAGATACTTTATATGCTGGCTCGAATGGGAGTATCGTATAAAATCACATGCCAACTTGAAATCTCCATTTGCCTGTGCATCTGTGCGTCTCTCTCTCTCTCTCTCTCTCTCTCTCTCTCTCTCTCTCTCTCTCTCTCTCTCTCTCTCTCTCTCTCTCTCACCCTCTCTCTCTCTCTCCTCCCATTTCCTCCACTGCACAGGCTGCATACAAAGAGTGGGGTAATTTCCAACTGTACCACTCGTTGTTTTTCAAAAACCAGTCGCTCGGTCCTGGAGGGAACAACGAGGACACTGTTTCCGTGAGCCCAGCTACGGACGGACCACCTGCATCCCCAACAGTGGCAACACTATCAGAAGAACCAACCGAGGCATCGACGACCAGTGTTGCTGGTGCCGCATCCGTCGCATCATCTCCCGTTAATCATTCTCGCCGCCGCCGCCGATCGTCGGACTCCGAGTCCGAGGTTGCTTGTCAGCTTGAGCCTGGCCGGAAGCCTGCCCGAAAAACAACCCGCAAGCGGGAGGATCAATTTGGTGGGCAGTAGATGCTCCTATGCAGTACACCTGTGCAAGCTGGTCAAATGTGAGGGCATGGGCCAGCCAATGCAATGTGATGGCAAACCTCTTCTCTGGTGCTACAGGTGAACGCAAATGGGTGACCTGGCATCGAAGGTGTTCTTGGACTTGTCCTAGCACGTACTGAAATGTGCGACAGTCAAACCGGTACGTTCTCAGGTATCTCTCATCCAGATAGTCGTCTGCCTCACCTGGAATGCGATAATTATCTGCCACTCTGTGCCACAGTTGCACTTTCTCCTCCCAAAATCCAGGACGACCTCGATGGATGGACCACCACCGCCTCTCTCTCCTACAAGCTGCCACCTCTTCTGCGGCAAGCAGTGGCAAAAGGACAGATTGCCTCCTCCAACGAGAGCAGCTGCCAGGCATAGGTGGCTGGATGTCACGAGGTAAACATCGCCTCCTTGTGTGCTGGGTTCCACCTGAAGACAATCTACACGACGCTGTTGTCGTTCTAGATCGCAGGCCGACAGGAGCATCTACATGATCACCTCGCCCTTGCAAGACCACCCAAGCACCAAACACTCCGGACATCGTATTCTTTCCGTCGACAAGCACAAGGAAAAGCACAATGATCCAGTATCTCAACAGACTGAATTAGTTTATTTTGATGTCCAACTCAACTTGAACTGTGAGTCAAAATCACATTTTTCCAATGTCGATTGATTATGTAAAAAAGCTTGTCAAAGTCTGTAAAAGTATGACATGTCCTCGCCATTCCAGCGGGATACACGTGCAGTGTGACTGTGATTCCCGGGATTACGCTGCAGCATTCCGGCGGCTGTTCACGGTAGTCTGAACGCGCCCTTTATTGGAAAGGCTTTCTGTCTAAAGCCTTTCCATACTGGTGCTCGATGTTTTCAGTTTGGGGACACCAAAATTAGTGTACCGCTAAAGACACGTGGTCGACACGTTGTTGACACGTTGTTGACACTTTGTTGACACGTGACCCAATTACCGGCCTACCAAGTGCCTTTGGCGACCGCTAACAGCAACTGTGGAACAGTGCAGTGCCCTTTTTTGGAGCAACGTACGAGTAGTGCCCATGGATTATGACCCCGCGACCCCAATCTACGTGGCGGTCCGCAATTCGCTACTTCATACTGACTGGCGTCCGGCATCGTCCCGAATTTGGCCACAATCTGCTCTCGGGACCCCTATAGGGCTCCCTGACCTGCTCCATCTCCGCCATCGTCAATGTACTGCGCATCCACCCAGGCCAGGACTGCACTTACTTACGAGAAGGAGTATTTGCAAGATGGAACCTGGGAACTGGAAGACGACGAAGAGGAAGCGTGGGAATCCGGCAGCAATGGCTGGGATGTAAGTCCAACATTGCTGGTGCCAGAGTTGCCACTGCTTGCTTATAAGGGAATCATGTGTGTTGCCTTTTTGCCTTTTCCGACGTCCTCCTCCGACTGTACTCCCGATCCCAGGACTGAACTTACGGGAAGGAGTGCTTCCAAGATGGGAGACGAAGAAGAAGAAGCCGCTGAATCCGGCGGCAATGGCTGGGATGTAAGTCCAACATTGCTGGTACTAGAGTTGCCACTGCTTGTTTATAAGGGATTCATGTGTGTTGCCCTTTTTTGCCTTCTCCCATGTTCTCCTCCGACTGTACTGGTGAACGCTGTCACATATGTTGCCCTTTCCAGGCAGTAGAAGGGAGGGGCGGGGGGGGGGGGGGGGCAGCACATCCTGGCATCCAGGAATACTAGGCCCTAGGAACTAGGCAATCTGACCTTTCCTCTTACTCCAATAATGGTATGGATGGGGAGTTCTTGAGCATCCTCAGTCTTGTTAGAGTGAACTGTGCAACTCGGCAATCGGTGATAGCAGAGGACCAATGCCGATGGCGATGCTCCTTCCTTTTTCTCTGTCACAGGCTGCGTTCTCGAGAGGAAGCGTTATTTCTGCATTCCAAGAAGGACGGCACAATGGTGAGTGGAACCTCGTGGGTGTGCAGCCTTGCTAGTTGAATTGTAAATCAACCATTCTTCCTGTCTCTGACTTCTTCAATGTCCTCCTCAGTGTCGGACTGTCCGCGTCGCATTGAACTGGTCCGATGAGGCTGCTATTGCACACACAGTGTGGGCACTCCCATACGGGAACTCGGAAGTACTGCTACAGTACAGGTAAGGTGGCCATTGCTTATGTGCGTGCGCCGTTGTTGTCAACTTCTAAGCCAGCTGTACTCCAACCTACATGGAGTTTGAAAGTAGTCAGCTGGCGAACTACAATTGAAGTTTAGACGTTATATGCCGCGGCTTGGTCAGCTTTTTCAGTTTCACAATGCATTGCACTCAGCACCGCTTCTCGGAATATCTTGTCAGGATAGCTGTGGAATGCATCCTCCCCAGTGGGGGGACGGCAAATGTGCTGTTCATTTTTTAGGCTTGCTTTTATGGTACGTACAAATCCCCATTGAAAAGACATAGTGGAGACCAGAAACTGCAAATAGATGTTGGGAACCGCGAAGACCACCCTTCCTTGTCAAGTTCCCTGAGGGTGTGGAGGGGGGGGGGGGAGCGGAGGAGGAACATTCCTGCACTGCTTAAAGCACGATTCACAGGAGCATTTTCAGAAATTGCTTGTACATTTGTACCAGTTGTAACCGACAAACGCATTCTCATTGAGCTTTGACTTGAGGCACGTCAGCAAGGCGCTGTTGCATCGCTGACGTCTTGTCGTGATTCTGTGAATGGTATTTTGTGCGAGTTTGCATCGCACGCAGAATCGCAGGTCGTGTCGCATTACGCAGCACACTGCCAAATTGCTTCTGTGAATCCCACGTGAATGGGAATTCCAATGGGAATGTAATCCATCGCCAACAGGTGTATTCCCGAGCTGCGCATCATACTGCAAAATTTCTCCTGTGCATGCAAATGGATTTCATTGCTCTTCTGTAGTTTGGGAAATTCTCGATTATGATAATTCTGCGTGTGTGTGTACACCAGCCCTTAACATACATGTAGGTGACCCATTTGTGGTGTCTCATAGCCTACCTCACGACCTTATGCTTTCTTTCTGTATCACTTGTATCTTGCAGGTATATCACCCCGTGACGACCACATCGAAGTCTGAAATTGAAGTGTGAAGATGCTTCAGCAACCCCTTCATATTTTTCCATTGCTTTTATTGTGCTTCTACTGTGCATCTGTGTAACTTGTGGGGTATGCATGTGATGACAATGTATGCCGGTGACACAGTCAGATTTTGTCAATGCGTGTAACGTACACCTGCATGCTATCGTTGAAAAGGATCTGCCACTTACGATCTTCGGACGAGTATCAGGTCAGCTTGGTTTTGTGTGTGCTGTACCAGATGCTGTTCACTTCTCTATCTGTTGGATATGTGACTTTCTGCAAGTTTCTGGTGTATGGTGGCCACTTCTTTGCTTGTCTTTAAATGACATTACCATAATTCTGTATTCACTGCTTCCATGGTGTGGTCTGCAAACTGCAATCCTTAGGCAAATATCATCACGGTTTGCAATGTTGTGCTTTGGCCGCCAGCTTACCTACACATTGTAGTTGAATTATTTTTGTTTCACAACTGACTTCCTGAAGTATGGTGGCCACTGCTTTCCATGGCATTATACAATGTTCATCAAGAATTTCCTGTTTGGGTTGTGTGTGTGTGTATGTATGTATGTGTGTGCGTGCCCATGTGTGTGTGTGCCATGTGCATGTGCGTGTTTGTCACAAGGTGTCTGTGTGCGGGGTAGCAAGGTGGGGAGGGCTGGAATGTTTCAGTGTGCTACTGCAGTTGCATGGCTACATACAGTGCATCGCGCGCGTGCTCACCATGTTTATCTTCGGAGCTGGGCTGGGGTGGGGAGGGAACAGAAAAAGAACTGAAATTACCCATATAAAAACCGCTCTGTGAGCGATTCTGAAAAACCTCTACTGGTGCAGCCCCGTCGTAAAAGTAAGAAATTAGAACTGGCGCATTGTCCTCCCAAATGTGAACTGATCCACCTAAATCGCGATTGACGGGACCCGAACGCACCAGTAGCACGAGGTCGGGAGGGCACAGGATCACAGCCGGCGTCGGCGCTGATCAAGTTACCATACAACACTTTAGATCTACCCCGAAGCCCACCTTTGCCGCTTTGGCTTTGGCTATGGACCAGCGTCCCCAGCTGCATCCACAGGTAGGAACCTCGTGCTACTGGTGCGTTCGGGTCCCGTCAATCGCGATTTAGGTGGATCAGTTCACATTTGGGAGGACAATGCGCCAGTTCTAATTTCTTACTTTTACGACGGGGCTGCACCAGTAGAGGTTTTTCAGAATCGCTCACAGAGCGGTTTTTATATGGGTAATCAGTCGTTATTCTTGCCTTTTGGCTATTGAACATGAAAACGCAGCAAATGTGCATCTAATTTTTTTTCACGGTTCGCGTGAGACTCGGCTGGAAGCCGGGTTTTCCGCATCCGTAGGAACGCCACCACCCTTCAAGGATCAAGGCGCAGATGCAGCTCCTAAAGCGGTGGGAGGTGAGTAGATCAGCTCACCAGCAAGTGGTCAAAGACCGAAAATCCCATTCACTGCATCCATGTTTTCCTCGTGTGCATCTACATGTTACACAATAGCCAGCCAGGTCTTGATAATTTTCCACCTTGTCACGAGTGTTGTTATCTCATTATCTTTACGCCAGTAGTACAATTATAAGTTTTAGTCTTTCCAACTATTAAATGAGCCATTCCCTGATGAGAAGGAACCGAAAACGTTCGGATACTTTTGTAGTTTTGACAAGTGCCTGTGACTGGATGTGACTGATACTGTCTGACTGGAGCCTCGCGGGGCCGGGGGGGGGGGGCGCGCGCGCTCGTGCGCCTGCGCAGTAGATTTGATGCAAAATGGCGCGACTTCGTTGGACTCGCGCTGAGATTTGAAGAGATGATTTTTTAAAACAATCATCTTTTATTTTGGAAGGTACTAGGTGTATTTGCGTGGCATGCACGCGCGCGTGGAGATAGTTAGAACATTCTGGCTTTAGCAAGCTGAGCAGGTTTTGCTCAGTAGCAAACTGCTGTGGATTCCCCTCTGTTACTGGTGTAGTCACTGGACTGTAGGAGAAATCACCATGACTCGCGTCTACGTTGGTAATTTAGATGTGCGTGCCTCGGAGCATGATGTGGAGAAAGAATTCGGATACTATGGCCGTTTGCGGGAGGTGTGGGTTGCCAGAACTCCTCCTGGTTTTGCATTTGTTGAGTTTGAGGACACTAGAGATGCTACAGATGCTGTAAGACAAATGGATGGTCGTAGAATCTGCAACCAACGTGTGAGAGTGGAACATGCGCGAGGACCACCACGTGGACGAGGTGGTAGTAGTTATCGGAGTAGTACTGGTAGAAGCGGTAGATTTGACGGTCCCCCTCCTCGTGATGAGCGGTGAGTTCGGAAGAGGGTTATGTGGACTACTAGTACATGCATTAATAACTTCAGAAATGTATTGGATACTACATGTACTAGTACTAGTACTCATGCATGTAAAGAATTGTTGATATTTTGTGTACTTAAACGTTATGTACTCTTGGTAGGGAGGTTTAGTCCCACGTAACGGATACGGGAACGTGGGTGATACACGTAATGGGCCATTCACACTACGCCCAAAACGTGGCGTACGTGACGTTTTCGTCCGGATAGCCATGACAACATGGAACGTGGCAGGAAAATCGTACCCCTGATACGAAAACGTAGACGACGTATCCAGACCCCTGTGCCGAGTTTCGTTCTGTCGTTCCCAGCAGTTTGTGTCCAAAAGAAGCTGTATACACAGCTGTTCGAGCAGGGTGTACGTGCCTGTGTGAATGCAGCTGCATGAAAACGACGTCTGCCAGTACGTCGTATTCCAAAACGTGACGCGTATTGTAACGTAGAGTATGAATAGCCTATAAATTCCTGCAATGGACCCACGTTCGCAATGTTGTTTTTAGTCACACGGAACAAACAAAAGCGTGAAGCGAAAGGTCCAAACTTGGTCAAAGACGAAGCTTAGAAGCTCATCGAATATTTTGATTTCGTGCTTCGGAAACTTCTTCAGCTGAGCACCCTCACAGCTTGCAAAATGCGCTTCATTCTGATTTTCACCCACGTTCTGGCGGAACGTGGGTGAGCCTCCATACACGGTATGTCGTGAATCAGAAACCGTCTGTACGTGGGTCACTGAGTACCACGTGGTACACACACGTAAAGTACACACGGATTACGTGGGACTATACCTCCCTATTATGTACTTTATGCATTCTGTTGTACGCATACTTGCTTGAAAATCAGGAAGTAATCATTATGCAGCTTGTATTGTATATGGACGTGTAGATGCTGGCTGTAGGTACATGTACATGTATAGAGCTTTTTCAAAGACGGATCAACGGTCACTTTTGGGGATCATATGCGAGAAATGTTTTGAATCGCTGTTGAATCAGAACAGGCGAAGCCCAGGTTGCATTCAGTTTGTACGGGAATGGACGCGTGGAGGTGAAAGAAGCACTAGGTTGGCGCTAAACTTCATGTTCGATACTTCTGTTGAGTCAGAGCAGCTGTCAGGAAGCCCTTCATGGTTTGAGCGAAAAAGAACAAGCTTCGAAATTGCTCCAAGCGATGGTGGAGACAAACCGGTCACATTCCGTATACTTGTGCTATGTAGGTCCAAGAGAAAACTCTTCACTTTAGTGTCGACCGATTGCCGAATCGATACAATAAGTGGCTTTTGAGTTACGGTGCTCCTAACTTTCGTCACGGTCAATTGGTGTGCAGGGCGCGATACGTGACTCAACGGCCGGGATTTTCCCTGATCACGCCCGCTGTTGGTAAGGATTAGGGCTCAAACGGTCACGGTTTTACCCCCAACGGTTAACTGCTAAGCTAACGGTCGGTTTAACGGTTATAACCTATAAGCCACGGCAATCCTGCGGACTCTTTTTTAACCGTATATTTGACTATACTTATTCAAAAAATGTACCCTATTCAGTACAACGCACACATGACTGTGATTGTACATTCTCTTGCATGCTCTTTCATACATACTCTCACACCAAGAGACGAGATATGACCGAGTTGACAGCCCAGAAATTGCGTACGCGTGCGACAGCCTGCGAAAGTGCATACTTTACAACGACCTGATACTTGAAAAATTGACTGAAAAGTCACTGCGTAACCGTTATCTTTATCGGTTAACCGTTAATTCTTCGTAACCGGTCTGCAACCGGTTAATCGGACTAACCGTTTGAGCCGTAGTAAGGATACACTCATTCAAATTCAAACTAATACTCCCGGGAGTGACTACATTTGAGAGCTTCATGCGAGCAAGGAGAGGGAAATGGCGGATGGAGATCAATCGAGAGCGCAAGCCCGCGCTGAAACGCCTTCGCTGGCTTGCAGTGCTGGTCCAGTGCATCCTATGGGATTGAGTTTGGGTCCATGCTGTTCCTCTCGTCACGAGCTTTCCAGGATGCCGAAGATGTGGGGTATTGTCCAAGGGAAAATAGATGTTCGTTAAAATATCGGTCTTACAGTATACATGAACGTAAAACTTCCAGAACCTCTAGTCTTCATGACGCTGAATCAAATGGTCTTGGTCCACGAAGGCTGCGATGCAGCGTTCAGCCTGTGTTCCCAACTGGCGCGTGGACGCGGTACGCTTGCGGTTCATGCGTGCCCAATTGCGCGCTCAGGCTTTCACAAAAAAAACAGCAACCCGAGTCGTGTTTAGCGCGTGCGACACCTTCGAGTACTAATGTTTTGACCCCGCCAGTCAAAGTGACTGGCATGTACGCAGGTACGCGCCTGATACGCGCTGAAAATTCCAACATGTTTGAATGTCCGTTTCGGCGCGTTTCCGTACGCATGGCGCCCCAAAAGCCAGGGAAAATACGCACAAACGCTTGGTTTCACGCGTACACGCGTCAGTTGTGAACACAGCTTTATTCGTGAACTATTCGTGGTCAAACACGTACCCTTTGGCCCATGCCCACTGGAGGTTGCAGGTTGTTATCTGCATGGTGCACTGCATTCACTGACACAGTGACTGGTGTACTAGTATGCATCTGTACTGGACCGCATTCAATTGGGAATAACGGTCAAATGCTGTATCGCAGCCTCCTCGAACCAAGACCATTCGATTCAGCGTCCAGAAGACTACAGGTTCTGTGAGTTTCACGTTTATAGTTCATTCATGTTCATGCTTCTATAGAACGGAGTAACGATTTCAGTGAAAATTTCCACACGAATCACCATATACTTTTGAAGTAGTAGGGTGCACTCGCCCACTTTTTGGGGAAGTGTGCAATTTCGATTGGGAATACACGACAAAAGGCGTAGCTTCCTCGGACCAAGACCATTCCACTCAGCACTCCGAAGACTACAAGATTGCAAAGTAGCCATCTGCTTGCAACTGATGCATTCCAATGCTTGGGAACTTGAAGCTTGTGTTCGTGTCATGCCAGAATCCTGCAGCCAGTGGGTGACACACAGAGTGCATGGTAGGAAAACCACTGTTTTTTTTGTGTTGTAGAGTGACCCAGCTTTCTTTCACATTGTGCGTCCTGATAAAAATTCACATGAAGTACATTGTAGTCATTGCTGCTTGCAACCCTTGTGGTGATCTAGTTCATCTTTGCTTCTTTCCAATTTTCCGTACAGGTGTTACAACTGCGGGCGAAATGGCCATTATGCAAGAGACTGCCGCTCTCGAGATGGTGATAGGGATCGTGATAACAGGTAACCGGCACTTCTTTGTGTGTGGGCGGGTGTATGCTTGATGTGTATATGAATGTGTTGGTCATTGCTTGACCCTGTTTGCACCATTTACTATTGGCATGTGCAGTGGTATGTAGATTCTCTTGTTTGGAGATGGCCACAAAATTAATGAAGAGTTTACTGGTTGTAATGTATTGTGAGTGATGTTGCTTCATGTATTGGGCGCTCTACTTTACGTTAAGTTAATGTGAGATTCCCATCTGTGCCGAATCCACTTTACTAGAGTTGTGCATCCAACATGACAACCTGTATTCTGTGTAGTTATCCCGCTTTTATTGTTGCCCATTTCATGGACCCTATGTGAGTTGTTTGGGGCACGGAATTTTCGATAGGATGACTTTTCATTGAGTAGAAATAGGTAGGTAACCTTTTGAGATCTGTTGTGGCGCATACTCGCACAGCATATTGCTCAATATGTTGTCTGGAAACTGATCTAAATTTGATGACGCTTGTTTACAGGCATCGTTTGGTACTTACACTAGTTCGGGTGATCGTCTAACGCAATGCCTGTTCGGTCTACTTGTGAAGATGGTGGTTGCTGGGCAGCTCGCACGCCACCAACCCTGCACAGTGCATAGTCTTACACCACGTCGCAGCGCTAGGCATGCAGCATGGTGACGCCCTCCACCGTGCCGGCCGCCACTGTTGTGAAAACGACCACCCAGGGCAACGGCTTTCTAACCCGTGTGCGCGCGCCGCCGACGCTCTCAAAGTCGCTACTCGTGCGTCTCCCATCGCATGTTGATTTGTGTCAAAGGCGACTTCTCACAACTTAGCTGGGCGCTACGTCACGCGTAAATTCTCTGTTGAGGCGCTGGTGTGTTTCGCCAGCCATGCGCCGTGAAGTTTACGAATTGATGGACGGTACTCGTATATAAGTAGGTGTGTTCTTTTCTTGATCATGTCTGGTATGGTTATTTCATGTTCATCACAGAATGAGCTTAGAGAAAGTAATGCTACTGGCTTTCTCTTGGAATCCAAAATGCAGTATTTCTTAGTATGCTTGGGGTTTAGCTGATGTGGTATACAGTGTGGCATAGATTCTTATGGCGGTTCCTGTTAGCCTCTGCGCTGCAGACGCACATCGGGCTCTCTTAGTGGGATGGAGCCGTCCTTGATATCGCTAGTTGTGATGAGTGCTTTCGATCATTGGCGAGCCGAGGTCATCAAAGTTGCCGAGTCCAGTTCAGCTATGTTCTGCATTCTGCCAAGCCACCACCACCCCGCACCCATTCGTCCGATGCCAACAACAAGCTCCCTCTGTGCATTTGCGTCTGTACTGCCGACCGTGTGCCGTCACCTTAGGGAACCGTTGTTAGATCTGTGCCACATTAATGTCCCTTTCAGCTTTGCCGATTTGACTGCACCCACTGCTTTAATTTGCAGAGACCTCATTTCCATTCTCTTCAATAGAACTTTTGTTTATAACTTCGACACTAACATTCGTTCTTTTCATGCTTTTCCCTTTCAAGATCTCGCTCAAGACATGACACGGACCGCCGTCGTCCTGCCAGGTAACGATTTGCCCAGTCATGTTATGTATGTAGGCAAGAGTACATAACCAAGAGCGTGCAACTCCTATCTTGAGCTGCGATGGGTTCACCCACGGCGGAATTTTTTTATTGCGTCATTCTTTGGCAGGAGTATGATGAAGTGCGTATGCTTTCCCGCGCTTGTTTTGTAGATACGGTGAGAGCTCATCAGGTTCAGACACATTGATCTATCATCCGTTGTTCTGCTTCGACTACCATAGCTGTAATGACTAATGTACAAATTAGTTGTACTTTGATCTCTGGTTATGCATGATGGCATCAGTGAGCCAAACCGCCGCCAAAGACTGATGTCATAAAAAATCCGCCGTGGGCTGGGAGATCGTCGAGTTGCACACTCTTGGTTATGTACTCTTGATGTAGGAGATGTGCTTGGTGTGTGTTACTTGTCACGTCTGTATGCCAATGGTGCCCATTAGTCTGTACCGATCTGCAGCTATTCTCAGCGAGGGCACTCGTTATTACTGGTACTGCAGTAGCAGCAGTGCTTTGCTCTTCGAGTGTTTCAATAGCTACACTGTACCTGTAGGCTCATACTTCAAATATCCCACATAGTTCAAAACCTTTTGCAGTACCGATCTTCTGCATCTCACTTCACTTCAAATTTGAACGCATAATTCGAAGTACAAAAAAATGCACCCGCTGGATATTTCGAACTCTGCCACCATACAGAGGTTCGGTTTACAGTACGGTGACTGTTACCCTTGAGCGCTTGTTATAAGTTATTTCAAAGAGAGGTGGAGTTACTTAACTTGCAGTTCATCGAAGTTCTATCTTTTCTCCTTCTCCAGCCAAGAGTACCATTAGCTCAAAAATCGATCCCTGGTCCACTCCAGGATCGACAAAAACATTCAAGAACCGCCTTGTCTCGAAATGGATTGGCTTTTCTTTTCAGCTCATGTCTGGAGGTGTATGTGAAAAATTTCGCTGTCGGTTGAAACTTGAAAGTCTTAAAAATTGTTAGTGTTTATGCTCCACTTCTGCTATTCAGAATGAAATGCTGCTCTCCCACTTACTTTCACGACTTGGGTTAGGCTGCCCTTTTCTTTCCCATCGAAATCATTTCAGGACAGCAGCAGTAACTGCCAACTTCTTCGCTAGAGCATGATGGTGTCAATGGCTTTGTGTCCAGTGTTTTGACGAAATAGAGATGCCAGGAGTTGTGCATCAGACCAACTGTGTTGTGCAGATACGAATAAAATGTGCAAAAGTAATCAGTATGCAATGTCCAGCATTTTGACATTCTTCGAAGTACATATCAGGCATGGAGGTTGCAGTTGGGTAATTGGTATACACTCATACTACCTCTCTTATCCGGGCGCTTCGGGACCGGACACTGCCCGTAACTTCGAGGGTGCCCGTAACTCTGAATCACATACATTTTGATTGGGAAAAGGCCATCGATATGGCATATGACGTCAATATTTCTACGAAAAGTGACAAAAGAGTAGTAATATTTCCCCTGAAACTCGCCCAAATAGTGCCCGGTCGACCGAAGTGCCCGTAACTTCGAAGTCCGGATAAGCGAGGTATGAGTGTAATTTGAAGTAAGTTGAAGCCTAGAAATCTGAGGTTCAAATTAAAGGGAGCCTTGGTTTTCCTGTATCAGATTGGTCCTGTTTCTTGCCTGTTATAGTTTCCCCAGCAGCTGACATTCTGTACTGATTTAATTTTGCTGCAGGAGCGTGAGCAGATCACCTATCCGTGGCCGTCGCAGATCATACAGTGAATCACCACGTCGCAGATCAGCCAGTCGGTCACCCCGGGCCCGTTCCCGCTCTCCTCGAGGGAGAGCTGGCAGCCGATCTCCACGTCGCCGATCCCCAAGTCGGTCGCCATCTCCCCGACAGCAGCGATCCATGTCCCCGCGTCGCTCTGCGAGCCCATACCAGGATAGGCGTCGCTCTGCTAGCCCGTACCAGGGTCGATCTCGTTCGCCGTCTGCCGGCCGTAATAGTCGCGGGTGAGCAGCTGTATATTTGTCATACAGCTAGTTGCAGTGCAACTGCAGAATGCCGTTCCCCAAGGGATGTAAAAATCTGTACTTTATAGTTGAGGTCAAATGACTGCTGTAGTACACTTCAGAGTCCTCAAAACTACTTTATATACTGGTATCCCATACCCAAACAGCAAAGGCACTGCCTCACATGAGAGTGCTCATCTACTACAAGAGCAGGAGCGAAATACTCAATCTGCAGACAGAAATGTTTCGTCCTTTGTGGACTCCTCAGCGCAGCACAGAGAAGATGAGGCCGAACATACATACGTACATCTTGATCTTGCTGCCAAGTCTGGCTACGCAGTCCCCGAAGGGACAAGTCAAATGGTACTAGTCACCCTGCTGCATCGGTGGCGTGTCCGGCCGCTAGTCGAGCGCAAGGTCCGGTGACAGGCGGAGCACTCCAGGGGTGGTGCCGCTGTAGTTTACGTACATACATACACACATACATACATACCTACATGTACATAATGAGTGTTTTTGAACACGAAACTCGGAGTAACGAGAAAGCTTTTTAGTCTCTGTTGATCTGCCTTGTGTAGTACGCTCTGCCCTTGTTAAGGTATTGGGCACTATTTGCAGCAAGGACTTCAGACACTCTGTGTACATACATGTACATGTTTTATCCATGGTGCTGTATAATGAAGTTTCACTGTAGGATGCAGTGAATGGGATTTTCGGTCTTTGACCACTTTGTGGTGGGTCTGATCTACTCACCTCCCACCGCTTAGGAGCTGCATCTGCGCCTTGATCCAAGAGGGTGGTGGCGTTCCTGCGGATGCGGAAAACTGGGCCTTTGGCCGAGTGTCACGCGAACCGTAAATTTTTTTAGCAAGACGAATTTTGCATTCGTGTTCGCACTCCATTGAAAGACGAACTCAGTGACTAAATAATTTTGCGCTATGCTGAGGATGAGCAAACGAAATCCGCACTTGCATGACGTTGACAATTCGGACATGTGTCCAGACAGTTCAATGTAGTAAATTGATGACTCTCCTGACTCGAATCCGTGCTTCGTGTTTCAACTGCTTTTCCGAACAAATAATGTGAAAGTTCGCGATCCAGTTCGCGAACCGAACAAATGTTCGCAAAGTCGAACACGAAATTCGTGATGCTAGACCTCCTTATATCTCTGTAGCATGGCTTTTTTGTGCAATTTTTTTTGTGCGGAAATCCTGTTAGGAGTTGTACAGCATTTCTGCCGAATTTTCTGGCACGAAAAGCGGCTCTGATTATCAGTGGGAAGTGTGCCTCCTTCTGTTTCCACTGGCAGTTAAAAAGAGTGTGTCTGTGTGCTGTGTTTCCTGGCTTGCGTGGGCATCTTGTTTGCCTTTAGATCTCGCTCTCCCTCTGCAGATCGGTATATCCAGGAGCCCCGCGATCGCCATTCCGGCAGAGAATCTGACTGAGGACAGGTGTCTACTACCTCTTTTGTGACCAGGTGTTGTTTGCCATGTCGTCATCTTGTTTTAGAATTAGGATCTTCTTTGTCTTCCTCCAAAGAGCTGCACCTCTGTAGCGGTTTTCTTAGCTCTTTTAACGATCTTCTTTACGTGCCTTTATGCAGACGTCCTTGTTTTACTACTTTGGTTTTGTTTCCTCACTGTGCGTTGAGTGACCTGAACTGTCTGCAGCGATTTGGTTTTAGTAAGCAGTTTCTTAGGAACAGTATTGGGTGGGTGTGTACACGTGCTCAGGCACTCTGGCCTACTCGTATACTGTTAGTTTTGTTTGTCTTTCTTTATGTACTGGAGCTGTTGAGGGTTTGAAATGTGAATCACTTTTATTAAAGTCCGCTGTATCTTCTCTTGTGCATTGCTGCTTTCGGGTACGAGAGTTGAAACAATGCATGCACCGTTTCCACTATCACCAACGGTTTGGCATTTAGTTTACTTTGTGGGGGCATTGCAGGGTACTATAGTATGCAATGATTCATGATGACCTAGATCACTCGTGCGAGGAACACTTGCATCATAACAATGACAACTAACGTGTTACTTGAAATTCTGTCAGGACAACACTGTGTACACTGTGTACATGTACGCGCAAGTTGCACACTCCGATGGGGGTCATTGTGTTGTCTCGATGCAGTCAGACCTCGCTTATCCGCTCCTCTTTTATCCGGATCCCTCGCCATCCAGAAGAAACCCGTTGGTTGCCGATTTACAGCATATGTCATGCATACATACAGTATGTGTGTTCGATTATCCGGTTCCCTCGCTTATCTGACTGTACTCTAAGGGTGCGTTCTTAGCTTCTAGGAGAAGAAGAAAAGAGAAGTCGAAGAAACTGGGATAATTCAAGAACGGGTCTCAAAGAATTCGGAGATATTTTGCACATGTCAAGCAAAATGAAGCGCCAAAGTGGCCACGATCTTGAGTGATGAATGTAGTATGCGAAAAGGGAAATGCGTACACTACTGATGAACACGTGGCTTTTATTCGTAGTTCGTATGCGCTGATCCCAAACCGCGGGAATCTCCAAGTTTCAACCACCTCTGAAGCTTGGAGAGCTTTGGAGAGCCTCCTAAAAGTCTGAGAGGATATAAGAACAGCTCTCGAACTGTTCGAAGAGTCTCCATCTAACTTTTGCGAGAGGATTTAAGAACGCACCCTAATTTCATAAATTTTTTGGTGCTCAATATTTTCGGTATGAGTGCAAAAGGCCAGGTACTATAGGTGAGGTGAACAGAAATTTTAGGTACAGAGAAGCAGTTCCCTATAGGGCTTGAAAGTGCTACGTCACAGCATAGCAACAATTTCAAAAATTGGATCCACTTGGATCCAGTTTTTGTATGGATCCAAGCACATTTCAAGCCGTCTTACTCACAGCAACGTGATATAACCAGTGAAACTGACTGATTTGGCTAGTGGGGGCGGGGTTACAACTGGTGGCGAAGTAAAAGTCACCCCTGCATACGACATGAGTGGGTTGCTATGCACCCATATACTGAGGCAATAGCAAAGTCACACCTTACTCCTTAGTACATGTGTGGATCCAAAATAGAAATCTGATGTCAACTTACTACTCCCTGGCGATAAAGCCTCTTGTACGGGCAAAAGCAACACAATAGAGAGGTTAAGTTACACGTTTTTTGCCCTTTTTCAAAACGCGGTGCAAATCTCACGTTACGTGTAATTTTTAGAGGTTAAGTTACACGTGCGACGTGACGTGAAATTTTGCCTGGCAGGATTCGGGTTTAGTTCGCACAAATATCAAATCTTCCAACAAACTTGATAAATCTCGATAAAATTCCGGAAACTCACACAAATTCGGTCGGGATAACCAAGCGAAACTTCCAAAAACTCACGTCATGAACTTACGTGCGGGACAGTCAACTCACGTAAAACACGTCAAATTTTACGTGAGTTTTTTCACTTTTTGACGTAAAAGTTCACGGACGTAAGACTTTTACGTGAAACTTAACCTCTCTAATGATGAGAAACCAGGGTATGATAGGAACTGATAATATTAAAAATAGTACACAGGTGTGGAAAATATGTCTCCGGAATGGCGAGAGTCACACTAAAACACAAATGGTTTTAGATCCGGCTTTCAACCACTGCCAGCTCCCTGAGCTCGTTAGCTGGACGATGGTATGCCGACCGAGACCCACGGACACACATGACAGCGGACCGGAGCAGCGCGAAAGACAGCCTGCAGCGCACATATGCAACATGGTGTGCATAGGGCATGCTGGAATCAGCCCTGGCAAGCAAGCCACAGAGGCTTTCACATTCAGGGGCGGCAACACCAGCGGGCTGAATGTGCCACGATCCACATTGAGGATTCGCTCTCCGTACTGCAGCTTCTTCTGGCGCTCGTGCTGAAGCAGTAGGGCATCCAGTGGTTGGGCCGAGTAGGACGCCGCATCAGGATGAAAGACGCGTACATCAAAGAAAGCATCCTGTGCTCGGGTCCAGAAGCCACGGGCACGGACATCAGCGCGGGCATCCTCGGTGGTGTTTGTCGATGCAGCCGTAAACACCTCTCCAGAGAGCGGGGCTAGCTGAGGCTCGATTGCCACTGCGTGGCAGACCTCCGTGAGTAGCTCCCCTACCATGTCACGGACTTCGTTATGGCGGATTGTAGGGAAGCCACCCCGGGGGCAACACATGGCATGAGCAGTGGAGAACAGAACTCCGCAGGCACACTTCGTGGGGACATCGAGGAGAGGCCAGTCATACCGCAATGCAAGGCCGTCCCTGAACTCCTGCTTCGAGAGGTGGAACCCATGTTCCTTGAGAGGAAGAGCAGTGAGCCAGGAAGAGGGGCCTTTGCGGGACAGCTCATCCATACGACGGGCCAAGGGGCGGTCCCCAGCTTCTCGGAGAGCAGCGAAAGAGGCAGCACTAGCTTTCTTGGAGGACTTGGCAGCAGATGCTCTCTCACGGCGGGCTAGCTGATCCACAAAGTCGCAGGAATGATGCTGCCACTCTCGATCGTGCTGGTGGATGATCTCGTCAACCTGGCTGCTCGTGATGACTTGGGAAGCCTGCAGTTGGGAGGTAGCAATTTCTTTGAAGTATGGCAAACCGATTCCACCGAGCCGGCAAGGTAGCCGTAGAAGAGAGAGGTCATCCGCCGTGAATGTGCGTTCCCTGTCAGAGCCGGAAGGAAGTGCTCCGTGACCGTGTCATCCAGGCGCTGCAGCTGTTCAGCTGAGAACTCCAGTGTACGAAGGAGATATGTCCATCGACCACGCAATCCGTGTGTGAGGGCGGCATACGCCGCATGAGGTTCGGTAGTGGCAATCTCGGACAGTCGCATAAGCTCCTGCTGCCAGTCTTGTACTTTCCCAGCTGTGTAGCCAGCGATGAAATCCGGTGTCCCTATAGCGGCACCCAGGTAGCGTGCTCCATCCGTGACCACTTCAATGCCAGTTCCTGCAAAGACACTGTGGGCCAGGTTGAGCAGGTCAGGCTTGACGAGGAGGAGAGTCTTCGAGGCGTTGACATGATAACCGTAACTACCCCTGGCCGTTTTTGACGTCATCACTTTCAAGCCCTATTGGATTGTGCGTTTGTTCGGTGTAAATTAATAATTAATTACTATTTTTACGTACATGTAGGTATGAAACAGACGAACCGAAAGTACAGAAAATTTGTGAAATTACAACATTTACACCCAAGTACCTAGTGACGTCACGCCGGACTTGACCTCCACGCGTCTACGCGCGTACAGTCATCATGGTCATCAGGTGATTCGTCGTCAAAAACGAAGTCAAGCACGTAGATTCTACGTCCTCTGCTGTGCTAGTGGCGGCGGAGGCACGCAATGTGCCACGCATCCAGTGAACCTGCAGTGATCTTACTGAGTGACAGACTCTGTATAATCATTACTGTATTTATCAAGAGTACATAAGTATAGAATAAACACCGATGTCGTAGTGTTTATGGGAATATAAATACTGCTATAAAAACCGAGGCGTAGCCGAGGTTTTTATAGACAGTGTTTATATTCCCATAAACACAAGACAGAGGTGTTTATTCTATTTATACCTAGCTTCGTTTTTGGCCTGAAATACTGGTCCGAAATAGCTATTTTAGTATCCCAGTATACAATAGTATACTATTATGTGTAGGTAGTATTGCGTATTCCAGACCTAAGACCTTTCTTTCAACCGACATCTGCATCAACACCCTGGTGGCTGGGTGGTCAAGATAGGTGCTTGGGAATCTTATGGTTCTAGGTTCGATTCCTGCTGAAACTTCTTTCTTCTCTTCAATTTTTTTCTTTTTCAATTGGAGAGAAAATTTCTAAGTCCCTTGAAAGTTGAAAAGTTACAACCTCTAAGTGGGTAATATAGCAAAGTATATACCCCAAGTTAAAGTGGTGAATATGGAGATATATTCACCAGTTATAGATCACAGGAATTAGTGGGGGTTAATATGAGCTGGGTATAATTCATCATAAACCTGTACTCTTGGTATTATTCCCGTAGCTATGCAGAAGACGTTACTTCAGTAACGTCTGGCGCTAGCCAGGGTCCACACAGCTTTAATTCCCATAGCTATGCAGAAGACGTTACTTCAGTAACGTCTGGCGCTAGCCAGGGTCCACACAGCTTTAATTTGGTGTTTGTTTGTTTGTTTGTTTGTGTCACGGCTGGAGCTATCCCGTATCTGTCCCGTATCTGTGACTACAAAGGCTCTACAGGATTGTACATAACAGCTGTCCACAATATTTGCGGGCTCCTGTATCTGTCCCGTACCGTACCAATATTCGTCGTATTATGTATACGACTCCCTGATGTAGAGCTAGAGGGAGATTTGGAAAGAAATAGGGAGACGAAGAGGATATTAAATTAGAATAGACGCCGATTAGGTGATAGGATGCGTCAGCATAAACATACTTTGGAAGAGAGATCCCGTCGTCTCCAAAATAAGCGTGAACGAGCGATTCAGTGCTGGTCACAGGAAACGTCGGAAGAGAGATCCCGTCGACTCCAGAACGCCCGTGATCGGTAGAGTCCGGCGATACCAGGCAACGTCAGGACAGACATCCCTTTGAGTCCAGAACGCCCGTGATCGGCAGAGTCTAAGCCGATCCCAGGAAACGTCAGGACAGACATCTCGTCGAGTCCAGAACGTCCGTGATCGGCAGAGTCAGCGCCGGTCCCAGTAAACGTCAGGACAGACATCCCGTCGACGCGCAGAAAAACTAAATCTGCAGCCTCTTTTGCCGTCGAACAGGATACGTTTTATATAGGAGACTGTAAATTTATGTAATGTCCAAATTTCGACGTGAGCAGCAGGTCACTCGCGTTGATTTTTCGACGTGCGAGCCAAATAACGCGAGCTGAA